CAAGCTCTGTGTAGAGTTGTACAGTAAGAAAGTTATTTCCCTTAACCAGGAAATTAACGTTCTTAGAATTGACAAGACAGTTGACCCTGAGAGGTCAGCTAAATATCTACAGCGAATCTAAAATATTCATAATTAATTATAACTAGTTATGATTAATTATTCATATTTCCCATGAGCTGATTCGTTACGTTTAAAGCAGCAGCCAAGGAACCAGTGACATTCAGACTCCACATTCACTTTACGTCTCATATTCCTGAAACAGCATATATACAGACTGATTTACATCTGCCTCAAACACGCACTAAACTACAGTCTCACAACTACTATCCCATGACATTTCACGCATTTACTAAGCAGAAAATCAATTCTGATTTCATTTCAAATCCAAAGATCTGACCTGGTGACCAGAAGGTTATTAGTATTATTTTAGTATGATGTACTAATTTCTTTTTTTTAAAAGTAGTGTATCACGGTTTCCACAAAAATATTGTGCAGCACAACTGTTTCTTGAGCAGCAAATCAGCATATTAGAATGATTTCTGACCTGGTGACCAGAAGGTTATTAGTATTATTTTAGTATGATGTACTGTGATACTTTTGGTTAACATGACATGAACTTGATATTTTATTTTAAAATATTTTTCATATTTAAATTTTATAAATTTGTTTGTAATTTCATATTAATTTTAATTGATATTTTAAATGTATTTTTATATGTTAAGCAATTTTGTCATTTTTATTAAATATTATGAAAAATTAAATGATAAAAAGAGAAATCCAAAGAGAAAACTGTAACACCTTTGACACTAATAATACTTTAACAAAATCAAACAATAATTTTTAATCAGTTTTATCCAATGTTCAGATTTCCAATGTTCAAATAAATGCATAAATAATATATTATATAATATTATAATGATATTTTATAATATATGTAATCATTCTAATATGCTGATTTGCTGCTCAAGAAACATTTCTGATTATTATCAATGTTGAAAACATTAATATTTTTGTGGAAACTGA